GTACCATAGATACTCCATGATAAACACACAGTCGCATGGTGGCATATAAATATTAGAATATTACAATGAGTTATAATTATTATAAAAATTAATGTTGAAATATCAAAAGAAAATGTATATTTTAGTATATTATAATAAATAATATAATGTATAATAAAATATATTATACAATAAGTAAAATAACTATTTTGATTCTTATTTTTAAAAATAAAAAATAAAAACGTACATAATATAGATATGTAAACAATGGTAAGAACAACTTTCACTTTGTTAGTTAGGAAAATAATCAGTGGTATATAATTTTTTTAGGATTAACTTTGAACAGTAAACATTTTTTTTTTTTAATTGATCTTATAAAACATCGGCTACTATGGCCATTAGTTACAGTTTTTTTTAAATCTAATTTACATGTATATATTTAGTTAGGTATAGATGAACCTAAAATGATTCAAAGTATGTGGTTGATTCGTACGGAGGTGAGTTTCGGTGCCGTTCTCTTCTAGATTTGGTTGAGTAGGTCAGTTGATTTGATCGAGTAGGTCAGTTTTTCTCAAGAAAACGACCATGTTGTTGATATCTTCATACCATGTTGTTGATATCTTCATTGTTGGGGCCTAAAGCTTCGTCTATGTTGGATGATATGTTGTATTTTTTGGCGTCTTCTGCGTACTTAATGCATTCGGTTATTAAATGTTTGACTGTTATGCTGACTCCACAGGTTGGACATTGCGGAGGATCTTCTTTAGTCATGAGCGATTTATGGGTTAACCTAGTGTGTCCGATCCGGAGGCGATTGATAGCTATTCTCTCTCTTCTGTTGAGATTAGGGTTAGGCCATTGGTGTATTGTGCTTTTGATTGTACGGAGTTTAGTATTTTGTCGCAACCAGTGCACTTGGCATCTGATCTGAATGAAGGCATGGATTTGGTTTTTTACATTCGCGTAGGTTATTAGGTTTAGTTTAGGAGTGTCAGGTGATTTCGTTGCTTTCTTTGATTCTTCGTCTGCCTTTTCGTTCCCTTCTATATTGCAGTGTCCTGGAATCCAGATTAGGGATATGTTTGATCCTCTGTTAGTTGCCTGGTAGATTTTTTCTTGTATGAGTTTTGCTATAACAGTTGTGTATATTTTATTATTAAGACTTAGGAGTGTGCTTAGAGAATCTGAGAGAATTATATTGTTTCTGAGGGGGTGCTCATCCACGAATATAACATTACAATTACTCAATGACATTACAAAAACCAAATTTAAAATAAAAAAATAATTATTTTCGTAAATTTTTCCGTAGTTTCTATGTATTTTTCGGTTTTGCTCAATTATTACAAAAACTACTAAGAAAATCAAAAAATGAATTATTCTCCCATGAATTAAATTAAAAATTCAACAAAAAAAGTACCTTGTTATTTTTCAATCGGAACAATATTTATGTAGAAAATATAATCCATTAAAATTTTAAATAATAAAAACGTTGGGTCTTTATTTGAAAGAAAAATCGTAGTTTTCGTCTTTTTTTGGTTTTTCTGAATTATTATGAAAAATACTTAAATCATAAAAAACGACATCCTTTATCAATCACTACATGTTAAAAAGAACAAAATCGATATTTTATTATTTTTCGATTAAAGTAATATTTCTGGTAGAAAACATCGTGTATACAAATTAAAAACAATGAAAACTGTAATGCCGCGACGTGCTGTAAATATTTGCCGTTTTACCAATAATTTTTTTTCGGGTTTTTACCAATCACTTCGAAAACCCTTTGAAAAATCAAAAAATGGCCTCTATAAAGCATCAACTATACAAAATTGTGCTTCATAAAAGTGACTATACTGTAACATAAATCGGAAAAAGATTTTTTTTCGAAAAGTTGTTTATAGACAACTCGCTACGCTCCAAATCTAAAATGTTAAAAGGAACTGTTTTCTAAATTGGACAAACAAATTTATTATCACTGTATTCATATGGATTGTCATTATTTATGAATTTAATAATAAGCTATCGCAAAGAATAATAGGTAAACTCCAAAGTCTGAAATATACAAATTTGTATAAAAAACCAGGAAATATACCTCACTGTCCATGACGTCATTATGCCGTTTATCAGTGTGTGATAATTATTTTATTTTTTTTTTGTCTTTGTCTTATATTTGGTTAAACAGTAATATAGTTGCCTATCTATAATTACAATGGGTTTTTGTAAAATATTTTGATTATTACCTAAAATAGTTATTTATTAAAATATTTTGAAATTTATTCTGTTTTAAGAAAAAGTTAAACATTTGATAAAAATAAATAATTTCCTATTATTCTTTTTAAATAAGTGGGGGGAAATATCCGCTTCAAAAGTTATCAGGGGAAAATGTCCTACTATATTTAAAAAGTAGGGTGGGGGGGTCAAATGTCTGCGATTAATTTCGTACGGACTTAGGTAATTTACATTAGTGTTAAGTATTGTATATTTGCATATGAAATTTACATTATAATATTTTTATCTAATAGGTATACAATAGTAATTGATAACAAAGTAAATGGCATAATGACATCATCGACAGTGAAAAATAAGTCTAACTATGATTTATTCATCAAAATATAGGTATATATTTATGATTACTATTTGGTTGGATTTATTAATTACTACATATTTGTTAGAGTTGCGTGCAGTGTTGAATTCAGATATTTTTTCTAGGGGGGGGGGGCACTCTAAGAAGTAGAGTTATTAATATTATTCAAATTCAAAAAATTGAATGTGTTAATTAATAATGTATAAATACATATGTAAACGAAAAATAATGATACGATATAAACTAGATAATTTATCTTATAACTTAATAATAAAAACATATTATTTAAACCGTATACGGCGATTTTTTTTTGTTGCATATAAATCTATCACCTCTTCGATATACTCCATGGGTTCTTCCATGGACCTTCATCGCCTTCTATATTCATTTTCATACAATATTGAAGAGTATCTTACCCCATTCGGTTGCGAAGTTTCGTCATAATTCTATTCATTGCACTAAATAACCTTTCCACTGTGGCTGTTGCAATTGGAACAAAGCAAATGGATTCTGCTAATTTTTTTAGATGTTCATAACCAATATTAGCTTCAAGGAGGTCAATTATTGGACATTCTTGGGTTTCTACTTTCTGTAAAGCTACAATCATAAACGACTTATAATTTGATAAAACTCCATCTTTTTCGTTTTCATTTAAGGAAAAACAATTACACAACTGTTCTATTATTTTTATTGATGAATTTGAAAATGATCTGTAATTTCAAATATTGAGCATCCTTCAATAAGTGTTAAAGCAGTATCATTGAGTCGACAATTCATTTCTTTTATGGTTTGTTCTAAAAAATTTGAAAGACAAGATAAAGTTTCTTTGAAACAATCGTCTTTTCTCGATGAATTAAGTTGATTTGAAATATCTGTAGCGTTTTTAATAATACTAATTTTGTTCACAACATCTTGTTTCGAACTTTCTAAAATATTATTTAAATGACATGTAGTACTTTTAATTAATGTAGTTAAAGTTGAAATAACAATTTTAGGACCTTGCAATGTTAAGCTTAAATTTGAAATTGCGCCTAATATTTCATCCAATCTACACAAAAGTATTATAAAACTTTCTTCACGGAGACTTAGTAAAATTCCACCTGCTAAAGACGCTAAATCCGCCCCGTCTTGATGAATGTGTTCACAAGTAGTAACTATAGCAATATAGGACTGTTTAATTGCATGAACTATTTTATAATGACTTAACCATCGAATTTCTATTGCCTCAGGTATTTTTAATATTGGATCATTCAATATAACTTGTACTTTATGAAGCATTTCTTCTCGTTTTGGAGATTGATGAAATAGTTTATAAATATCTTTTAAAACATGAAATACNGTTGCGCATACTAGTTAATGCAAGTGATAATATGTGGGCTCGACAATGTATATAAGGAATTTCCCATCCTGCTTTTTCAGAAATAAATCTACGAACTCCGCCTTTATTTCCAGACATGTTTGATGCCCCATCAAAACCACAAGCAATAATATTATTATATGATAAATTGTGCTTAATTAACTCATTGCTTACCGCGTCTACGATTGTTTGAGCTTTGGTATCGGATAGAACAACAATATTAAGAAATCTCTCAATTGGTTGGTTATTAATAACAAAACGAACACATATAGATAATTCAGATTTATTATTTATACTATATATTATTTATATATATATATTCATCGGCCAATAAAGAAAATTGTTTACCGTGAATTTCCTTGTCTAACTTAGCATCTAAAATTTCTGAAGCGCAACATAAAAGCACACTAGCTGTAGCTTTACTCGTATATGTTGAACGATCATTACTTGCATCAATCCAATTTTGAAGTGACCACTACTTTTCATAAGTAATCGTTTAATTAATGGCTCATATTTAGTTGCATGAGCTATCTCTTCTTTCACCAAAAGATAAACAGATCGAAAAAGATGTGATACATTTGTTCTATTAATTTTACATTCTTCAAAACTTTGACTTACAATTTGATTATAAACAGGGTTTTTTAAAGCTACCAAAGCAAGTTTTTCTAATTCTACACTACGGATATGTGATACAAAAAATGTGTGTTTATTTAGTTTACCATCTTTTCCTAGTGCTTTTTTATAGTTTAGTTAGGTGTGTTAACAAAAATTCCGCTTAAAAATACCTAGCTTGCAAATACCACTGAACCGTTAAATACATATTTTTCACATAACTTACAAAAAGCACCGTTACGTTGTTTATCAAAATAAAGCCAAGGATAATCTATTTCCCATTTAGTATTATAGAATCGTTTTTCTTTACCTTTTATTGATGAACTAGCCGATGTAACGGCTTGATTTACGTCTGTAGATTCTGTAGATTCTATAGTTTTGGTTTTTTTATTTGCTAAAAAAAAATCTTTTATTGATCGTTCTGACATTTTAAAATAAAAAATTAATAGATTACGAAATGACTAAAATACAAAGAAATATAGTATAGGTAGCTAGTATTCAATAATATATTACTTAAGCTATGTTGTTAATAATAGTGCACTCGTGATTTTTCAGCTGCACAGCGTTGACTTATCGATAGTGAACAACTGTCTAGAATGTAGATAAATAATCAAAGAAAATAATAAATAATAATAGACGTAGACGATCACCTAATAATCATTATCAATATATGATATTTCCAATCATATCATATGATAATATACTTGACCGTCCATGTAAACGTTTATTAAACCAGTCAAATTGTTTTATTATTTAATATTTCAATCAATAAAATTGTATTTACAACCACATTTAACAAGGGGGGGCAAACATTTTTCCAGGGGGGGGGGCGGTCGCCCCCCCTGGAGTATACCTGGATTCAACACTAGTTGCGTGGAACTACAAAAACTGAGCATTCTCTATCGTAACAGTTAAAACTGAACCTACGATAATGACCGTTCTCAATCGTATTACCACTAACTAAATTGCGAAACAAATTAACGCAAGATTCATCATAATCTGCAATACCGAGGTTTTAAAAATGAAAGAAAAGTTAAGCGTAATATTGAAGTTTATTTTGTTAAGCGCTTGAAGTTCACATTTCTATGGAAATCATGAAACCACAGGTCCACAGCATTTCAAAGCATGTTTAATCAAACTACAATCAGAATCGTTTTTTTATTAGCAATGATTTATCGTTACATTCGTATAAACTTAATTTCTACTATTATTTTATAGGATATATTGATATATTTTTATCATACTTTCCCAATATCCCACTAACGATATTGGCACACCTATGTGTTGCGAAGTATGTCCATTTTTTTCTTATATTAATTATAAATTAGAAAATATCGGCAAACGTTCTCTATCATATTGTACGTGTATCCGTGTTATCTTATTATGCCTACTGCACTGTTTAAAAACAGAAAGTGGCTAATTAGTGGCACATAATGTTTTTATAATAATGTATAATATGACTCGTCTCAGAAGACAATTTACGCGATAAGGAATCACATACAGTATGATAATTCCTTATCTTCTATTGAATATTAATTGTTTTCATGCCTATTTTCTATACAATAAATCCACTATGACAGAAACTATTGATTGGATATGAATTTATGTTACATTAAAATTGTTAGAAATTAGAATAATATCTTTTACAAAATGGTTATTTTGTAAACCTAAAATAGTGAAAAAATAAAGTTATTTTTTTAGTGATTAAGAAATGAAAATAAAAACTGTATTTTCTCATAATGAGATAATGAGGAAAACCTGGTTCTTTAAGGTAAACAAGTTTTAAAAATTAAAAATAAGGTTGTCATTGCCAACCGATTTCTTTTATTTTTTATTATTATTAAATTTGTATTACTTTATTTTTTTTTAAACTATTATTGTTACCATAGAAACGCACATTGTAATAATTTCACATTGTTATTAATTAATGACATATATATTGTTAACAAAGCAAATACTATCAACTGAACTCCGCTCAGAATCGTATTTTCGTTAGCAATGGTTTATCATTGATGTACAATAAATTCTCTTCTGTATCCTACCTTTCCAACTTCCCACCTATAACAGTACCTGCACCACGTGCGAAGTATGTCCGTCCTTTTTTCTAACTACTTTTTTATACTGAGCAATCACATCAGAAATAAATTAATTTTAAGTCCTTGTCTTATAGACGAACTGAAGTAATTAAAGTTGGGATGAATTACAATTTACTGTTGATTTACTATTTAAATTGTTATGGAAGGCTATATTTTTTTTTTTTAGTTTTAACCCCCTCCCCCCAAATATAGCCATTGGGGGTGACATTTTGTATATGTGTAGTGTTTGTATAAGTGATAAAAACTATCAAATAATTACTATCAAACTGTTTGATACCATACTGTTGATTACCAAACTATTGGGTGGTTAATCCATTCTGTATTAAACAACTATCGGATAGCCGAAAACTGTTCGTGGATTTACAGGATACAGCTCTTATCAGTAAGATTTGTAACTTGCACATTCTTGTGTACTAGTTAATCTGAACTATTCTGTAGTTGGAAAAATAATTGGTAGCCTATCCTGTAAAACACGGAAACGCGAATATTTAAACACTTACTTAAAACTCGATTGTTATTCGTGTGTTTGGTAATAATGTGATAGTAATATTTTTCAGGAAAATTGTGTTTGAAACTGGATCAAATCGCAATTCGACGGAAAAAAATTACGTTGGAAAAAACGAAAAAAAAAAACCATAGCCTCGAAAGAATTTTTCTTGTACGAATAACGTAAATTAATTATAATTAAATTAGTATACATATTAGTTATATTGTATATTACAAATTAATATTTACTAACGCGGAATTGACGTCGCGCGCACAACGATCAGCCGACCCGTCAAAACAAAATAAACAAACAAACAAATGACTAAATGCTATAATATATATTTATAAATATTAAATTAATAAGTCGAGTCGCGTCCACTGAACGGCGAATACGTATATAATTATCTATTTCGAATAGCCCGAGTACGCCATGTTGTGACTGCTGTGAGCGTCGTGTTCGGCGTTGTGGTTGTAATGAGGTTCCGGCACCACCTCGATCGAATGACTGGTACTCTGATGGGGCTGGAGGAGTTTCTTGAGCGACAGCAGACTGGCCATGACCAGTGCGATTTTGCTGACCAACAGTGCCTTAGCGGTCAACAGGGCGATGAAACTGAACGACATCGGTACAAGGACAGCGACGGCCATTATGCCGGCCATCATGATGGCTTGTTGTATTGACTTCTGTTGCTTTTTCTTACCGCGACCTGATGTGGAAGCAAAACCAAACGTAATATTTATTACATACTTAGCGGGTGCGCGTGCAAAAGGAGATCAGTCAATTGTTTCAGGACTTTGCAGTAGAACGGCGAAATCAATTTTAATTGAAAACGGGAGATCGGCATTTTAAATATTTGACCGTAGTTTAAGTATCTATACCTATGTGCGTGTTGAAAATTTGCTTTTTTTTTTGTTTTTTATCGATTAAAAAAATTCTAATAATAAACAGTGACTGGACTGACTGACTGAATGATTTCAAATAGATGGGTTAAGTTGATTTAATTTTGACGGCACATTGAAAGTTGCATTACAGTTTAAATCAACAGCTGGGGTACGCCCACTCGCGAATTAAGTCGTGAAAACCATCGCGCAGGGCCGTTCGCGCGTTAACTGTATAGTTGTACGTACGGGTCTATAATATTACACGTTTGGCCGGCACGAAACTCACCTTCTTGTACGGCCGATCCGTCCAGAACGATCGTCTTCGTGGACACCAGCGTGTCCAGCCGGCTGGCCAACATATCGTCCAACAGGGCGTTCTTGTGGTCCGGGTCCTTGGCGGCCAGCAGGGCGGCGCGGTCGGCTTCCTCGGCCGACGCGTCGATCTGCAGAGACCTGCCCGCCCGGGAACTCAGCGATACTCCGTTCGCGACGGCCACGGTGGGCTTGGCGATCGCCCGGTCCAGCGCGGTAAGCGCTTTCGACTTGAGACACACCGCGGCCGGTTCGGTCGAATCGCCGTCGAAACAGCCGTCCAGTACGGACCACAGGACCGAGCCGAACCCTCCGGACGCGAATCCGTCTTCTTGCTGTTGTTGCGCGGTCGTCGGCAGGGATAAGACGGTGCAGGCCAACACGGTAACAACGGCGCAAACGAACGAAATTCTTACGGCCAGCGAAGCCATGTCTGATGATACCGGTCGGTTTTTCGGGTAACGAATTGTTGAATTATTCTTTTTTGGTACGCGGACGGTGCTTGTTGAGTCAACTGTGGATCGTCGGTATGTGATGATTCCTACTAGACGCCCGGGTGCTTATATACACCGTAAACGACAGTGACCAAAACACCGTGAAAACCATAAGCGTTTCGGATATTGACTTTCTTCAGACATCTCCCCGAGCAACGCGCATAAGCATAACACATTCTTTTAATTAGACACATCAAATTGGAAATCGCGTCGCAGGGAATTCGTATAGGTACAGGTGGCCCTTTACAAGTTATGTTACAAATCCGGCAATGCACGGTAGGTGTAGGTATAATGATTGATAATAAAATATCATTCGTACCCAATCATTTTGTTCTTAATAAATCAAGAAATATTCATCCGAAAAAAGAAATAGATATTCAATAAATGGGGTTAAGCGGTTTTCCTAATTTTCTCCGAGTTTGTAAAATTTTAAAATTATTTTTCACTTTGTATTTATACTTTTCCTCTAATTTATGAAACCCCGTTTTAAGGGAAAAAGATATGGCAGTTTTTACGACGTTTTAGACCAATACGCCGGATTAAGATTCATCCAAATTTAACTATGAAAACATATTTGAATTCTTTGATTTCGTTGATTCTTTGTTCGATTTTTTATTTAGTTGTTCAATGTATAGCTTATTAATGATGATGATACATTGATGAGTTTAATTTTTTTTTTTTTTTAAATTAACTCGTACTAAAAAGTCACAATACTTTTTCTACAAAACACAGAGAATAGGTATACAAAATCAAATAATATTTTTGAAAACAGAAATTGGACTACTGGAAGTATGTTAATTTTACTTCAGATAATTGATCTAAATGTATGAAAAAACGAATTGCTTTCAATTGTTTTCACTAAATAATTAAATAATACTTATGTTATTATAATACTTTGTTATACCATAATAATTTACCCTAAAAACAGGTATTAGATTCTCAGTGGAGCAAAGAACCTTATGGTTTTATAATAATAGCACTTTTTCTGAAAGGAAATCGGACTGGGGTGGAACTTGAGGTCATTTTTTGACTTTCTCATGAGTTTTCCAATAAATGGAAAAACCGGGAAAAATATGAAAACACCTGGAGAACACAAAATAAGTACAATATTAAACAAATATTATTAAAGAAAATGTTTAATACATATGTAATTATTTTACCATAATATGACATAATATATAGGTATTATTGACAAAGCAACAATATCAATTGAACTCCACTCAGAATCGTTTTTTCGTTAGTAATAGTTAATCGTTGCTTACAGATATATATTTAATTGCCGTCTGTATCATACTTTTCCAACTTTCCTCCTACAATAATGGCTGCAACCCAGTGGCACAACTAGTTCAAATCTTGGAGGTGCTACAATTATTAATCGCTTACATAGTGGCGGGGGGGCTTCGCCGGGGATTCCGGCCGGCATGGTGGTGAAATAGTTACGTGGTGACTGGCACAAGAATGACTTTGAGGTTACGGGCCTAATGCTGACCTGAAGAAAGTTACGGGTCGAATGGTCTTTTAAACGGTTAGAGCCGTGGACTCAGATATCTCCCTGATGCTTACTAGGTCTTCCGGTAGGTCTATATCACATCGAAGGTTGTTCATGACCAAAAAATGGAAAGCAATGAGATACGATACTGTCCAATTAGTTACAGGTCGCTTTCACCTACTGATACATGGTGCCCCGTGATTTTGGAGTTTTCAGGATTCTTCCGAACCTCCGTAGCTCCTGAATACGACTAACATAGGATCTGTGGTTGTAGGGTATAATTATACCTCTTCAAAATCGGAAAACATATCTGTTTTATTGTATATTATATGTCTTTTATTACAAATTGAAATTATTTTGGTTAATCGTTGACGTAAAGAGGAGGGTATTGTAGGTGTAGCAACAGTGCAACCTACCCCTCCTTAACAGTGTGTATTTATACAGATAGATACACAATAAAATAATAAAAGATAAACTATTTTACACGTGGCCAAACTATGTAAATAACATTACGATGTTCATATGGTAAAAAAATTATGATGTGAAAGATGAAAGATTATTGATACCACTGATTATGACAGTAGTTTATTATTATTCTGTTAACCACAGCTATTGATATAATCGACAAGGATTTCCATTTTTTTTTATCGGGAAAATATGTACAAATATATTGTAATTTATCTCGATGCATTTCCTTCAGTGATAGTGATTTGTATGGATTGTTCCGTCTTATAAACTTACGACACAGCAAATTTGCATTAAACAGGGACAATATTGTGCTGTTAATATTAGAATGAATTGTAGCGCTATGATTACCATTATCAAACTTAAAGAAAAAACCATTATCTCGATAAGGCTGGCGCTATTTTTTTAATATTTTAATTTCAAACGGAGATATAAGTAGGTATGTGAAGTATCACAATTTATTTAATAATACTTATAGATAGGGTGTCCAGATTTAGAAATCTCCGAGACATGATATTGAATGGCCTTTTTTGTTTATATTTTTTATACGTACATTAACTGTTGTTACTCGTTGTCTATTGGTTATTAATAATAACCAAGTATAATAACTTATTATACTTTTCACTTTAATACATTTTTTTCAATCGATAGTTATATCATTCTTAATTTATTCGTAAAATTGTTTACAAGTTAAACTAAAATTTATTGAACAAACCATCAGGCCTCGTACTGTATTTTCATTCATCCTACCCCAAAAAAGCGTAATTCATAAATTTACTCTCGGTCATGTCAACGCATTGTCGAACCGGGACGAATGACAATCCTAATTACAGAAAATATTCGCTTGAAAATTAAAACGTCAAAAAAATAGCACCCATGCTGTTCTTATCATTAAGACTAATAATAGGTTGGAGCATAGGTCAATTCACTCTAATATTAAAACTAATATTATAAAATAAAAATTACCCTGCAGAACGTTAATTGTCTATGTCGTATCACGTCGCCTTTAAATGTTTAACTAATAAATAGTGATAATGGAAAATATTTTGCATTTTTTCATAACACCCCCCTCCCCCTTCATTCTTATCGATTCTCAATTTGTTCTATGGAATTGTGATGGAAAATAAATATTAAATAATGGATTTGATTTACTAATTAGACTTAAAAAATAGTATTATTATAAATTTATCGATTTACTGTTTGAATGCTCAGTTGAAGTAATAATTAACATTTTTCAAAATACCGACTTAAGACAATTGATGTCAGATTTGTTAACTGAAATTAAATTTAATTGCCAGGCGGGGGGAGGGGTATATGACACCATAACCCCTCTAAATCAAGGTCTGCTTATTTTATCTACTTTATCATGCATTTACACGGGGAGTTTTGCACGTAAAATGATATATTTATAAACCATTTGCGTTCCAAACATTTTATATCGATAGACCCATTGCGGTAAAACTTTTACATTGATGTTTTCAGCTTGCTGTCTCGTCATTTTAAATTCATAAATGTTATCTACTTTAGATAACAATGTTTATTTACCAAGTTTCTTCTGTGCGTTTGCTGTTACATTATACTTTTCGTTTTGCTTTACTTTTAGATTTTAATGGTTTTAATTTTAATTATTTATTAATAATTTTTCCCCCTCCTCCCCATCCCAAAATGTTTTATAGGTACGCCACTGGATTATATAGTGTAATCATAGTTAATAAAAGTACCTAATTACAGTAGGTGATGGGGAACAATATCTTCACTCTTTTTAATGGGTATAGTTTTTTTTTCGGATATAGTATCACTTTAATAAGACTAAACATGTTTAAATAAATAAAACCATTTAGTAAATTAAAATGTAAATTGTTTTATAAAAAAAATTAATATTTTTTAATATTGTTTAATTAGTTTTTAAACAGATTGAAAAACAGCCCTATCATTTAATAACATTTCCAAAGCTTTTGTCAAATATTCTTTTCCCAAACTAAACATTTTTTTTCTGTTTATTTATGATATACATTATCATGCAACTATATTTAGGTATTATTCGGTGCATTATTTTCTGCCTCTGGTCTGTTCTGCGAACTTGTCGTGCGATCATCTCAAATATTGATCAAATGACAACAATTACATAAATAATAATTTATGGTATTTCCAAAATGATTAGATTTTAGTTCCTTCAATAATACCTACCTACCAATAATAGAATTCCCACAGTTTTTTGATTTATGCATGTTTTCAAATTTCATTTTTTTCTAATAACTCCGAAATCAACTGTAATGCCTATCACAATACGCCAATACAGTGGCGTTACAATATTCCTAGTAATAGTAATTAATAGTATCTACTATAGACTGAAAACAAAAAAATCATGCATTGTAGATTTGTAGGGTTAATACTTAATGTATATATATTATAATAAATACTAAATTAAAGAATATGTTGACTTAATTATTATAAGTTTAACATAGCGATGCCTATAATTATTCTAGTATAAAAAAAAAGTATGAAATATACACTCATTATGCACATGCATGAATGCGTAATTTTACGAGTTACACACTTCATAATGCGCCATGCGTTTATATTCGCTTATGTGTATATATATAAACGGGAAACGCCTAATAATTCAGCTTATACTATAATAAATACAATTTTTTTTTTTTTTATTATTGATTTGTGTTACCCCGGTAGGGGTAGGGATGAAAAAAAAATTTTGATTAATTATTATTAGAAATTAGTCGGAAAATATCGTGTGATCGTCAAAATCGGTCCTACCGTTCTAGAGTTATAAATGGTGTGACTAACCTGACTTTGTTTTAATAATGTAAGATTTTTGTTTATTCAAGGGTTGCCACGGAAAAGAAAATTATTATAATAATTATTATTACGATTATTCACACTATTACACTATTCAAATTTCACAATAAAACACATTTAGTCCGCCGAAGGTGTACTACCCACTTTCCACCTATTTGTTTTCATTCAATTCTAACATTGTCCGTTAATAATAACAATGATCTACGAGTATGTCATTATTTTACCATAATATGACATAATATCTTAAACATGTACCTACTTGTATGTTGTAGTGGCTATTTCGACAAGTTTCGTTTCAAAGAAGAAAATGTAAATGTTTGTTTTTTCGATTTATTAACATTTTGATTTTTCTGACTAGAAAGTGAAAAAAATGTAAACATAAAAAATAGAAAGTCGTATGAATAATTGATTTTTTTTTTTAAGTCTAGGAGGAGATTTATCTTTCTATTCTTATCCCCTCTTAACTACGCCACTCATTTAGAAGTCGTGCATTAAAATCCGAACACTGATAATTATTATAGCATATGTTTTGATGAAAATATAGATAGGTTTGGTCTGTGGATCCTTCTTAATGTCAAAATGTATTAAATTTAGTTGTGTTGTCTATTATTATTACATGCATTACAATCCGTTTTCAAGCCGGTAATGAATACACTTTTACCAAAATATTCTTAAAAAGCTAATTTTTTTTTTTTTTTAACGAACAGGTAATAATTATATTAAAATTAATTATAGTGCATATTTTTTATAAGAGAGAAAATAAACGGAAAGCCATAGGTATTACTATTGCGTGTGCCTGTACGGTTTGTGGAATAATATTATTCGGAATTCACGCCGTTTGGCTCGGGTTACACACGCTAGTGCACAGTATAATAAACGGCGAATAGAGATTTTCACGATAAATATTTATAATATAAATAGAACAAATAGATAGTCGAGTTTGTTATAAATTTAAAAACAAAAAAAATTAATTCAATTAATCACGAGAAATCCATGCAGAAGCGCAATGAGCAGTATCCAACATTTATATTTAGAATGAGATGTGTTTGAATGTTTTTAATTTAGTTTTTAAAATGAAAATTGCCATTATTTAGTATTAGTTTTATCAAAATAGTTGGTTTTATAATAAACATTTATTAGTTTGATAAAAATTACATCATACAGATATATACAAGTACCTATGGTGGGGTAAGCACCAATGGCCAGTATCCCTCTTACGGCCACACATTTTTATTTTATTCGTAAATAATGTAATTGTGTAATTTGATGAGCCATAATATAGGTCTTGTTCATTATCATATTGTTTATATCATTATCAAACACGAAATAGAAAAAAGTTCTTGGCAATTCCACTCTACCTTTGAGAAATTTGTTTTATCATCAAAGGTGGATTGACTTTTTTTCCCATTTTGTTTATTTTATGAAAACGGTCATAACCAACATGTAATGCTCAAAATAGTATAATATTATAATAGCATAGAGATTACAGTAGGTACTGTTTGCTGTTTAGTGTATACTATCTATAATTATCTATAGATAATATTAAGACACGGTCGCAGAGACAATTGCCTTCTTTGTCTAAGCTCTACAGGAAATTTAGCAAAAACATGATCACGTAAAACATACAAAAATGCCTTAAAGAAAAAAAAATGGGTATATAGATCAAACATCTAACTATTATAAAATTTGTATCCTTATTTCGGCGTTTTTAATATTCTCTATAAATAAACAACTCATTATTGAAAGTATACAAAATCGTATTTTACACTTTTTCCCCCTTTAAAATAATAAAAAAATAAATATTTTAAAAACACCGACGTGGTTAAACAATGCCATGTACAATTGACTGTATAATATAGATGTTTTATCTCTAAAATAATTTTGATTAGTTTTACGTGAACATATATTATTCTAATATATTAGTAACATAATATCTCACGTTAGAAAGATTGAGACTGCAAATGCCACTACTATTTGACGTTCAGATAGTAGCCACTGTTATAAAACTAATTAGTTAATTAAATGCCCTTTTAACCCGGCTATTGATCTAAAATTCTGTATTCATTATCATGATTCATGACCTACCCATGACACATATTGATTGTGTTTTTATTTGTTCAAAATTATTAATATTATACAAATATAGTAGAAACTGTTTAAAATTATGCCGGTTATAGTATGACAAAACCGGTTTAATAACTTTAAATTATTTTCCTTACTCTCGAGTTTTTAATAATTTTGTTTAACAAATTGGTTATAATGACTGTCTGTTATTATGATCTAGTTTATGAATAATATTTAAAACAAAAAATATGCATATATTTGTCAGTATAATAAATTTACGTTCACTAATGAGTCCGAATAAAACAAACGAGAAATGTGATAAAAAAAATAAACGAAAAAAAATATTTTGGAAACTGTTAACACTTTCAAAACAAGTTCCAAACACTCTCCACAAAATTGTTTTTTTATGTTGGTTTTTCTAAACATACGTGTTAAAAATGCAAAAAATGTAAAATGCTCGACTTTTTACACGTAGTAATCTAAAATATGTGAAATAGGCAGAAAATTGCATTTACCAACGTACGACATTAAAAATGAGAGCAATTTTACTAACCGAAAAAAGTTTTGGATGGTTTTGAAAGTTTTAGCGATGGAAATAATACACTAGGAAAATTAGTTCTGTATAAAATTACTCTCATCAGGATGAAAACATGAAAATAAATATAAGATAGTGTTTGTCTTATACAATATTATAATGCAATATAACACACATTATAAAATACATATAAATAAATTTAAACGTTTTTCATGTAAAATGATAAATAAAGATTTTAATATTACAAATAAATAAAGGAGTGTAATCAATTATTGAAATATTATTGCAGTATACATAACGATTTCAAAACGAAAATACTGCAAGAGTTCAACATTTAGTTAGTAAACTATTTGTATAAAATACATTTTTAAATTGTTTACATGCACGAATCCGACGAATAAATACATAACAAATAAATTAGATGGTCGTGTTTTTGTGGAGGTGTCAATCTATTGTTTTTGGCCCGAGTACGCCCAGTTGTGTGCGTCGACGTCCTGTACGTTGTAGTCGTAATAATGGTGCGTTTTTTCCACTGCTGAGGGACTACTTTGTTGCGGCTGGAAAATCTTCTTGAGTGACATAATACCGGCCAGGAGCAAGGCGATTTTACTGAACAACAGGGCCTTGCCGGCCAACAAGGCGATGAACTTGAGCGCCATCGGTCCCAAAACGGCAATGGCCATCATGCCGGCCATCATTATCGCTTGTTGCATGGCCTTCATTTGTTTCTTCTTACCACGGCCTGACGTGGGAAAAACAGACAAAATAAATATTATTATTAGATAGTCGGCGGCACACGCAATACTTTAGATTCCTTAATCTAAACGAAAAATGAAATCATGAAAAACAAAGGCGGCTGGAATACAGTTTTCGGGTGGGTGCAAATCGAATTGTTCAAATATTGAAAAAATCCCGTTAATTAAGTTCGCGCGAAAATCGAATGATTCAATTGTATATGGCCAATAGGTTAAAGGCATAGGCCTTTATTCTATAATTATCAGAAACAAAACCCGATTATAATTAAGTTATAGTTGTTCATAATCTTAGATCGCGTGCATTACAATATTATACTTTTCGGTATAGTTTTTTTTCAAATATAACCAAAATTAGAGATACATAAAATCATTAAAAAAAAAAAAAAAAAAAAAACGTTTTTATTGGTTGTACTTGCGGGGTGAGTTTAAGTGGAATGGGTATATTACTTTAAACAACTTGAAACCACCAAATAAAATATCTTAACTCGCCACTGGTGAACAATGCTCAAAAAGGTCGTCCGCCCATCTATATTAATTACGTTGTGCGTTTGACTGGTACGAAACTCTCACCTTCTTGTACGGCCGATCCGTCCAGAACGATCGTCTTCGTGGACACCAGCGTGTCCAGCCGGCTGGCCAACATATCGTCCAACAGAGCGTTCTTGTGGTCCGGGTCCTTGGCGGCCAGCAGGGCGGCACGGTCGGCTTCCTCGGCCGACGCGTCGATCTGCAGAGACCTGCCCGCCCGGGAACTCAGCGATACTCCGTTCGCGACGGCCACGGTGGGCTTGGCGATCGCCCGGTCCAGCGCGGTAAGCGCTTTCGACTTGAGACACACCGCGGCCGGTTCGGTCGAATCCCCGTCGAAACAGCCGTCCAGTACGGACCACAGGACCGAGCCGAAACTTCCGGTCGTAGATCCGTCTTCTTGCTGTTGTTGCGCGGTCGTCGGCAGCGATAAGGCCGTGCACACCAACATGGCGACTACTGCGCAAACGAACAAAACTCTCAGGATCGGCGATGTCATTCTGATGATGTCGATCGGTTTTCGGGTTGCGAGTTATCGAATTACTTTTTTTTTTTGTAAACGCGAAGTGTGCGGACGGTGCTTGTTGAGTCGTCTGTGGACCGTCTGGGTGTGATGTCTACTCGATGGCCGTCCCGTCATATATATACTGACCGCGGCACACTCGCGTGGCTAAAGCACCGTGAAAATCATACGCGTCTCCAATTTCTTTCACCATGCCCGATGGTTATACGTGAAAGAAATCTGTTTATCCATAATATTTAATGGTGTTAATTAAACTAAATAAAAACTAGATATTTTAGAATTGAAATCTTATTTTATTTTATTAATACGCACCGCACTTCTGGTGGATGTTATACCAATTAATACTTTACACCATGTTTAATAATAAATTGTTCATAACCAGTGCTCGGATTTTATATCACTGCGGAAATTAATTGAAATATGCGCTATATGATGATGACCTAAAAAAAATCCTTACATAAGCTATTAGGTATATGCCATAAGAACATGAAAAATGTCATAAAAGAAATTTTTTTTTTTTTTTAAATATTTAAATAGAAATCTTAAAACGATTGACGAATTGAATATTTTAATTTTTAATCACATTTCGTGTTATCGTAGAAAACGACTGTTATTCAAAATACAAACGACAACGGAAAATCCAATAATATCTTTATACACTAATATATTAATCAATTTGAATATTTGGTTTTTCCCAATTATTACAAAAACTACTTTAGTTATTCAAAAATACTTTCTCCCTCAGTAGCTTTATACTGAAAGGAACAAAATAGATCCCCTATCGTTTTTTGATTGGACCAATATTTTTGGTAGAAAAAAATAAGTTGCAAAAGTTAAAAACAATGAAAACGGTAACGTCGCGCCGTAAATATTTGCCTTTTTTAACTATATTTTTCTTTCGGGTTATTCCCAATTATTTTGAAAACCCCTTGGAATTCAAAAAAATGACTCTCCAGTCCCATAAATAGAAAAATAACCTTTCAGAAAAGATCGATACATCAGAGTGAGATTTTTGGTAGAAAAGTTGTTTACAGAAAAAAAAAACACATAGTAAAATCAATACTCCCCCCCTGATGTAGTGAAAATCAGTATCTACAAAAATGTAATTGTTAGGAAAATGGGTTTTTTTAATTTTTTGCTTGTTAACAATATTATTCAATAATGTTTTGATCATTAATTGTAGTGTTTACCTCAGAAATCGTTCTAAATACTTTTCTTTTTCCTAAATCAAATATTTATACGTTTTTGAAGAATATTAGATGTAGATAATGCATTTGTGATAGTCAAAAATTATTACAACTGCAATTAAAAAGGTAGTATAAACTATACATAAATTTTCTCTTTTTTAAAAACAAAAATTCATTATAAACATTATAGTTTAACCACGTATGTATTTAGTTAATACAAAATCACTTTTTTTTAAAATTAGGTTTCATTCTTAAGAACCTAAATAATATTGATTAACAAACAAAATATATCTATACATAAATCATAAATATTCTTCAAGTACCTACCTACCTAATTATCATAGAAATCACAAAATCACAGTAAGTAATTTGAAGAAATAGGAGAAGAAAACGTGTATAAATCAAGAACCAATGTGAGAAGAGCCCACCGGGAGCTCCCTAGTACTACAGAGTGCCAGTACACATCTGACTTCACCTATAATTCATTAATTCATTAAAGGCTGTACTTTGTAAATAATTGCAGTATATTCTCCGATTGTATACTTTTAATCAATAATTTAGTCTCAAACTCTCCAGAATCAGATATATTAAGAGATTTTAATCGCGATTATTATAATAGAGACTCATTATAGTAATATTTTACTATCACTATATTCGAATCCTTAAGTTCCCTGAAATGTTGTACTAAGTGTTGAGTTCAGTGGTGTACACAGATATTTTTAATGGGAAGGGGGTTGCATCAAAAAATTATACGTCAAAGTATTATATTGCTTAACAAAGATTTATTTTTATCATAGAACAATATCTAATATCCTCAGTTTTAGTCCATACTTATCAATGACTTCCTCAAGAGTTAAAGGTATAGCCCGGTATAGGTACCGACAACATAGCCAATCCATTTAATCTGCCTTATATAAATAATTATTTTTCAGTGTAAAATGTAACAAGTACATCGATATGAATTAAAAATATGTACCTATGAATTATGAAAAAAAACTGTTTTCTTCTTTCATAGTAATTCTCAAATAAGCTTTTACTCTTTTTAAATTTGAAAACATTCTTAAAGTAACAGTTGTTACCAGCAATGTACACATAAATTTTAATAATATGTGAATAGTTTGAAAGATCACTGGATAACAATTTTTGAATGCATCAATTTCATTTGATGGTTTAATCATTTATACTAACAAGTTTTAGTGTCCACATTTTAAGATCACCGAGAGTAATAAACAAATCAATAAAAGATAAATAGAATGAAACGAGAGATTCAAAATCAGTTTTATTAGAATCTTCGTTGTTATCAAATAAGCAATGAAAACCTAAATAACATATGAAATATGTTTATAAATATTAAAAATTATGATACAATTTTTGTCAATTTTATTCCAGGTAGTATATTTAATAGAAAAAATTAAATAATCATGCAAAGAAGTTTATTTTACCAATTTTAGATCCTGAGTGGAACAAGGAAACCTATTGGTTTTATTAGGGTGGTTTTTTAATTAACTTTTTCCGTGGACAACTTTTATATCAGCAATTTTGTTCAGATTTACTATGATAGCATTCTTCCTAAAAGGAAATCTGACTGGGGAGGTACCTTATGCAGGTCATTTCATGATTTTTCCAAAAGTTTTCCAAATAAATTGGGGAAAAAAGGAGCAAAAACGGGAAATTATTAGATAAGATTATTTATTTAACTTTAAAATTCAATAAATTTCATTATCTTCTTAGGTATATAATTATTAATTGTAATAGATTGATTTTGCAGTGACAATAGTTAACAATAGATACATTCTTTGTGTCACTCAGAATCTAAAAAACAAACGGACATACTTTGCATGATAGGTGGACCCAGTGGCGTAATTTGGTAATGTTTGGGGGGGGGGGGATAAAACTGTATATTTTTATAGTCTTTATTAATCTAGATAAAATAATACTTGATTGTTCTGTGGTTTATTTTTGTACCACTATCATAATACAATATATAGGTATATATTTGTGCAATACTGCAATAATGATACCTATGCTGCCCTACTATTGTGATAGACAGTACATACAAAAATGCAAATATTGGGAAAATGGGCAAGGAAAAATCAGTCAAGTCATATTAACTGGTTTTCTAGTTTATTTAACTTTACTTTAAAACTGTATTTGGGACAGCTCTATTTTTAGTTCAAATTACTAACTGTACATAATTATTTCATTTTAATTAAAATTACTAAATATTAGCGACTAGCTTTTAAAATTGAATGAACCAAAACATTATAGTTATATATACTAAACTTAATGTTCAGTTTGAAGATTATTTATAATTGTCTAAACTATTATTTTTTGTTGTATTTCAGTTTGAGATATTTACTTTAAGTTACAGTAACCTATATATTTAGTACATTTTACTAAGTAGTAAACCATGGGCACCCATAGAGGGGGGCAAAAAGGGACACTTTCCCTTGCATAGAATTTTTAAAAGGTTTTTTGGTAAATATAAAACCAAGAAATGTGGATATTAGGCACCCAAGCATGAAACCAAATTTTATGAGCTTAGGACCTCTGATTATAAAAACATTATGAAATAATTTAATAAGTTGGTCCTCAATACATTTATTCCACTAAAAAATTTATTTTATTTTTAAATTTTAAGATTTTCACATATGATGTAGATGCATTAAAATCATAAAATCCTAAACCATGTTGGCCATACAGGAATACAACATTTCAATTAAAAATAAATAATTGGTAGATCAATACACATGAAATTATACACATGAAAAATATATCAAAATGTTTCATTTGATGACAAAATGTATTACATGAGGTTTACATTCAATATAATAAAATATTAATTGATAAAGTATACATAGGTAAATAGGCATTTTAAGTTTGGGAACTTAATAAATACAAACATATATAATTATATAATTAAGTTTATTTAAAAGTAGTAATAGAAGTAGTAGTATTAATAGATATTTTAAACTCAAATTAATTATAGTTCAATATATTTTTAATAAATATATTAAGTATAATAGTTGATAAATTAAACTATTGTACTTAAATTATTGATTAAATTTTTAAAGATTGATGTTTTATCAAATGCAGTATTAATTTCATAAAAAGTTTGGACAAACAGCCAAATTTCCTCTTCTTATACAGGATATTTATAGTTTAAAATAAAAAATGCCTTAAAGCATACATCTAGAACCTTTAATTAAGTCTTTACCTTAAATTCTGAATTTTCAAGCACAACATAGCAATCCAAATTGTTTGTTTGATTAAGTCCAACAATAACTATTTATGTCTGTACTGTGATACCATAAGCAACAGATTGGTTTATCACTTCACTTCTTGTTTTATATTCACTTGCAGTATGTAATAACACAAAATAAATTTTGTTAAGTATTATTTTCATGATTTTTAATAAAATCCATACAACAATGAAAGTAAAAATAAATCTGTTGATTTGTCTGTAAACTAATGTATAATCTATACTATATACTTCATATCATAACTTATATGTTGCACAATTATGTTGTAGGTACCTAAAATTGTATATTATCAGTTATAATGTAGTAGGTATTTCATTAATTTATATTATAAAAACATGTTAATACAAATTTTATATTGTAATATAGTAGGAAGATGTAAAGTACTTACTGAAATTAACTTGATAAATGCAGATGCCTGTTTGACTTTAAAAGGTATCCAACAAGATTTTTTATTTAAAGACTTCGGTATTTTTAAAGTGATCGATGAATATAGATATGGTATTGAAAATAATACATCAAAATCTTCATTACCTATCCATAAAACATATAGCTATATAGGTATTAATATTAAAATAAAATAAGTAGGTAAATTATATTTTTTTATTAACATTTGTAATAAATTTAACAATAGATACTTGGAAAATACTTCGGTATTCTACAGGGTAAATTATTAATCATTATTAAAAGACAATGTACATAAGTAATGAACTACTAACCAACTATACTAGGATTGCCAAGTTCTTCAAACATATTATCACCTAATTTCAAAATATTATTTGTCCTTACATAATTTTTTAGTTTTTCCTTGAATAAATAAAATTTGTTGAATATAGTGTCTGAGTTAAGGTATAGATACTTAAAATCTAAATCAATCTGTAAGATGTAAAATTAGGATTTGTATTTATTAATGTAATTTGTTCATAAATTTAGGTATTGAATATAGGTACTGTTTAATATACTAACAAGACAAGGACCCAATGGAATTCTTAAACATGGAAACATCTGTATTGTGTTTATATTATTCATTATATTTGAAAGTCTTCCTACTGCTGTAATTTTCCAGTATTGATAAAGGACATCTTTAGACATCTTTAGGCTCTGTATTATTTTTTAACTATGTAATCTGACCTTTGAATTCTTTATTAATGCATTTGCAAGAAAATATAAATTAGAAATTAATTACAACATACAGGTAGGTACTTTAATTATTATTATAAATTACCCTCATTTTCAACAAATTATGATGGTTTTTTGTTGCATAGTTTTGTAGATAGTTTTGTTATAATTTTAATTTTTTTACTAATATTAATATATTTGTCATAAAGCTTCTCTTTATTAACTCTGGAGCCATTTATATCATATGAAATAAAACATGTAAATTCTATTTCAATTGGAAATAGAGCTTGAATACCTATGTAATATATAAACGAAAATTAATTTAAAAATTAATATTAATATATTATTTTTTTTAAATTCATTAAACTTTAAATTTATTTTTTTAAATGCAATAATGCAATTACATGTGTGTATATTTTTGTGTGTATTTCATATGTGTGTCTCGCCCATTTCAATGATAGCATTACAATAGCATTGAATTGATAGGTAGAATAAACAATTTATAATACCATTAGCTAAATCTATAAATCTGTTTTTTGTAATTTTAGCATCCAAACCACCTTTAACTCATGCTTCATAATAACAGATGCTAATGTATTTCTCATTAAATGAGTTAATGATTGGTTAGCTATGAATTTCTGAAATATCATATTACCATCCTTATATTTTGAAAGGATATTTTTGATATATGTCTAAAAAAAAAGAAAGAATAATAATGATAATTGATAATAATATTCGTCGTATATATTTTTTTATGATTTTTGTGCTTTTTAAAGTGATACATTTTAATTTTCAAATTATAACAATGAAAGTAAAAATACTTTTAGTACCTACCTATGTATAAAAACAGTTACCTACATATTATCTTTAACCAGTGAATATGTATTGCTAAAAAAAACCGTGGGTTTAACGCCTTATTCACGTATATAGATATAAGGAGATCTAAGGTAGGGTCCAAAAAAATGTGTATCCCTTCGCTCGAACAGTGACCACTATGGATACTAAGTGTAGCGAAGAAGCCTATGGTTATAAGATATTTATTTATTTTTTTTTTTTTATATCTATGTGCAACTTTTCTACCAAAAATCTTGATCCGATTTACAATGATAGCATTTTTCCTGAAAGTAAAACGCACTAGGGAGATACTTTAGAGAGGTTATTTATCGATTTTCTCAGGAGATTTCTCATCAAATGTGAAAAACCGAAAAAACATGAAAATGCACGAAATATATTAGCAAAATATAATGTATAATATTATAATCATTCATCATTCAACGAGTTATCACAGCAAGAATACAAAATTATATTAAATACACATTATGATAAATGATTGTGGAATTCAGTCGACCTAAGTCCACCCCCATAACGTTTACTTTATGGATAATTTGATTATGAATGGCTGATAACAACACCTTAATTTTTAAATGATAATAATTGTTCGTAAAAAAAAAAAATAATAAATCTTCCGTGTTACGTCCTATATTACAATTCGTGCTCCTCAAAATGTATTTTACAATAATTTATATAAATGTATAATAGGTATTTATAATTGCCATACAGGATATACGGTAAATACGGCCTCATACCCGCGTATCAATTTGTCTCAACCTATACGCCACAGAGTATTGAGTATACCTCTGTAAACACCAATACACCACTGCTTTTTAACAAACTTTCAGGATTTTCTAAAACTGTGTTTACACTTCTATTGTTTATTTGATTTATTATTGTAATTTCATTATTCATTATCATACCATCATGTTCTCATATATCATGTCCTCATCAATGTCAATAATTTCAAATGACTCAATATCATTAACATGTGTACCTACATAGCTAAATTTAATGTTTTAATGTACTTACGCACCCATACTAGAAACGCGTATTTTATTTGAACATTAAAAGAAAACTTTAATAGGTACATATGTATTTGTAATAAATCGTTGCTATACTTTTGCGGTTCGTTTTAAAAAATAAAATGATTATTGTAATAGATTATATTTAAAACGAAAAATAGTCAACAATGTAACTTACCTTGATTGTCCTTCTGACAAACTAACAGAATATTTTTGTTGACAGTGTTCAGTGTTCTTGGTTAGAACGTAAAATGGTATCTAAAAATGTATGACTCTCGATTCGCATAAGTGCACCTAGATATTGTGAGCCGCAGGAGTACGTCGTGCGTGTCGTCCGAAGTCTCCAAATCTAGGTTTCCTGTAATTGGCATTTCTATGAGGTCTGTGGTAGTTGACGTTACGTGTGGCTGCGGTTTCCTTATCTTTGGTAATTGCCGTTAATTACAAGAATTGCAGGAAAATTAAATATTTGCCAGGAATTTAATTAACGTATAATTTTGCGAAATTATGATACAAAGAAAGCGCTGTGAAGCTGTAGGTACGTGCTAAGCCGCGTCAAACACATCAATTCAAAGACGGGCACAACAATTGTACTACCCATATTATTTAGCAAGATCAGCATAATTTTAGTATCCAAAATAAATTATTTTCTTTAACTAAAAACATAGTAAAAACAACTATGTGCATACCAGTTTAACAATAAATTGGCAACTAAAATATTTTGGTTATAATAACCCTGTGCTCATAGCAAATATCACTAAATTATAGCCACTATAAAAAAAGCAACTATGATATTTTTTTAACTATGTACTATTAACAAATTACTTTTTTCAGAGGGTTTTCTTCTTTTTGAACTTGTTCGTTTGTTAACAATATTATTCAATAATGTTTTAATTCAGAAATCGTTCTGGATAATTTTCTTTTTTCTAAATTAAATATTTATAGTGCTGCATTTGTGATAGTCAAAAATGATTACAACTGCAATTATTAAAAAAGCAATATCAGCCATATACATATTTTCCCTTTTTTTAAAAAAAAATATAACAACAAATTATAAACATCATAATTTAACCACGTATGTATTTAATTAATAAAAATCACTTTTTAAAAAATTAGGTTTCATTCTTAGGAACCTAAATAGTTATGATAAGCAAATGAAGTATATAACTGATGCCTATGATTAATGGACCGCAACTTATAAGTTACTATACATAGACTAATTAGGCTGTGTGTTACATACTATTTGAATACTAATAGTACCTATTTATGATTCTAAAAAAAAATATAAAAATTAATTCATTCCGATTATTAAGAACATACCGAATGAAGAACAAACTCATTGAAATATATTTACTTTTGGGAATTACAAAATGTAAAATTAATTATAAAAGAATTAAAAATATTAGCATTCAATCATAAACATATGTACATACTGCTTACTGCTGGTCAGATAATCTAAGATTACTAGATACACATACAAGTATGTATTCCGCTAAATAAATCTACTAAACGTACCTACTTGTAAGCAGTAACTACACAACATATTATATTGCGTTTTTTTCTGGAATTTATCATTTACTGCTTATTTGTCTTATTAGTATTCGGTGATATTCTGGTAGATACTACATATTATGTAAGGCTCGTTTAGAGAGTCTAAAC